CAATGGTGTCTTTAAGGTCAGAAAGTCTATTTTCACTTTCACTCACATGGTATTGCCAGCTTGTGATTGAGGTTTTAATTACCTGTATATCACTTTGAATCTGTTTCATACACTCTATTTCTAGCCTAAATTGTTTATTCAGGGGTTCCATCATTTTTATATGCTGCTCTATTTTTCTATCAGTGTATTCCTTAGAAGCACTTAGTACTTCTTTGATTATAGTTATCACTACATTTTTTAGTTCAGAAATTATTTCTGATCTGATTTCTTCTATACCTTTGTGCAGTTGTTTCTTTACTTCCAATGCTGTTATTTCAGAGATTTCAGGGATGTGATTTCCAGTTTCCTCTATGCTAGTGTCTTCTGCATTTGTACTGGTTGGACTCAGGGCCTGAGACTGCATTTATTCCTTCTCTTTGTCATTTTGTATACCACTGTCTTCTGACCTTTGGTGTAGAGCTTAGGTAGAGTTATTATCTTAGCACCATGTCCACATCTACAAAGTTCAGATTCCTCCAGGTGGGTGTTGCTTGGATCTGGCTGATGTCTGGCTGCTGTGCTCCACTTCTTCCTGCTGCAGCCATTGGAGTTGAACCCTTTGTGTCACTCTGGCAAGATGTTCTGCTCTGAATCAGCTGGGTGGGTCATGCCTCTAGCCTCTTTGCAAGGAGTTCTGCTGAAGGGTTCCATGCTGCCGGACCTGTGCTCTGGGTTTATTCAGGATCCAGTGGGCCTGCACTTTGGGTCAATTCAGGATTCAGCAGCCCCAGTTCCTCTCACTTACTTGGGCCTGTGCTCTGGGTCTATTCAGGATCCAGCTGCCCCAGGTTGTCTCTGGTGCATTTTCTTTCATCTTTATAGATCTGACTGGCTATTGTTATGTTTTACTATGTTATTTTTTGTTGTTGTCTTGGCTGGAGACTGAACAAAAAACACTACCACTGAGCTATATCCCCATCTCTTTTTTATTTTATTTTTTATGTATTTTTAAAAGAGAATAAAAAACAGTAAAGAAATTAGAAATGATACAGTTTCATTAAACAAAATAATACAAATTCAACAATGATTATTTTATTGCATAATGTTGTCTTAAAATTAGTTGTTTAGAACCAGATATAAATAAAAATTACTTTTAAAAAGTTATAAGAAATTAATAAGGAGAAGAATTTTTTTTAAAAATTTAAGCAGTGACTAGTCCTTTCAATAGACCAGCAGAAATCAGCAGTACAATTATCCAAGCTGTCCTGTATTT